CTCCCCCCTCCCCCCCTTTCTGGATGGGATGCCAGTCCATCGCAGGATTACCTCCAACATTGAGTTCGCTGATCTGTTCCACACCTGGGTGAAAGGAGGCACTGTGAATTAATCTAATTTGCTCTGTAGAAACTTCTCATTAAATGAGGTGGCACTGATTTGGAACTGAATACAATATAGAAATTAAGAAAGCTAACTTTAAGTAACTAACTAAGTATGCGATCTTTCAAATAATGTTACAATGTAGTAAGAAAACGACCGTTTTTTTGCGTTACGACAGCCTGAGCGCCGGGAAATAAGAGTCAAGCGAAACTTTGTCAGATAATTCGTGGTATTTAATTTTTCTCTAACGGTCTCGGGATCAAGCAAGCGTGAGTAGAGTACCTTATCATAGGTAGTCGCCCAGTTTTTATAAAGATCCTTTATCTCCTCTTCTGTGGTGTCTTTCGTCAGTCGGCTTAATTTCTTAATACGGTATTTGTCATAAGGAGCATCCCAAGATGCCATCGCTGACTGATCGCTAATTCTGATATGAGAAAATAATTAAATATTCAGTAGAATGTAATTTATATTGGGAGACTAGCTGAATCAGCGTTTCTTTCGCCTTCCTTTCAGTACCTCATACAAGTGCTCTCACTACATGTAGTTAAACTCATCTTAGCTCAGCTTTTCGACATAACTAATTAGCCATGTTCTAAACGAGCAAGTAACTGGGGACGAATGTTTAAAACCTAGTTATTTGAAAAAACTTAGCCAGGTACCTAAGAGAGCATCTAAAAGTGAGTAAAGTTACCAAATACCAGTGTTTTGATTCGCAAAGATCTAATACGCTTTTGAAAAGCTGTGATTGAAGAGAGCTTTGTATGGTTTGGAGGGATTTTAAAACTTCGTACTCAGTCCCTTGCTTGTTTAGAACATGGCTAACCAAGACTGACATTTTTACTTGTCCGGGGCTTACCATGCCTTCAGCCTAGTTGCGATAACATCAAGGTTCATTAAGCCGAAAGTTAAACCTTGGAAGTCTTCAGGATATGGGCTAGCCTGGTGATTTGCAAACTCAAAATGGTACGTGCTGTTACTTAGACAAGAGCGTTCATTTAGGAATGACAATTGGGTCGTTCTCTGTTATGAAATCTTCAAGTGCTGTAGAAAGTGGAAATTAATAAAGTTTCCGGGAGAAAGCATTCTCCGGGGAGCACACTCGGCGGAACGAAGTGACA